AAAAGGAACCAGTCGAAATTTAAATTCAGTGGTAGGCCGACGAAAAACTAATATCATTGTTATGTTAGTGAAAGATTCCTAATCCTCATAGCAATGAAGAGAAGGGAGGTATCGGAAAGTTCGGAAAAACAGGGCTTCCATCTTGCCAAGGTGGTACCAATGGATTTATTGCAATAGGCGACAAATTCTATTTCCAGATCACTCGTTGAATAATCCCAAGTAGAGAGAGTGTTGTTTTTCTGTTATTGCTGTAGAACAATTATTAAGAACCTTCCTACCCTTCCGCTAATAAAGCAATTGTATTGAGGTAGATAACATACATGAGCGTTATCAGATTTTTATTGCCTGTTAGAAGCTGAAACAAGCATTTTTTCTAGGACCCTGGTAAAAGAGCTTGCTAGAGAGCCTTCCTTATTCGTTCTACGGTTCCTGCAAAATTCTTAATGGCATCTATCTCATTAGCATCACCGACGTATACCATCTGCCGTGACCCCTTACTCAATTGTTCTATATATACTGTTGTTTACATGAGTGACCAAACAGAATTGTTTTTATTTGACAGCTTTTAGCGGCAGTATTATGTTCCAGATATACCCAGTGATGTGGAGTGACGTGTAAAGCCTCTCGTGTCAGGTAGGCCTTGAAACCGCATCTCACTCTGTCCGGTTGGCCGATTACTTTAGAGTGTACAAAAATTCAATGATTACGTCAGGTTTGCACGGTATATAAATTTATTAATATAGCCGTACTCGTCACTCGCGTAAATCTTTTGAGGAGACCAGTTTCCTCCTAAACGCTTTTCTAAAGTCCTTGTTCGGAATGGATCCAAGTGATGATCCGCAGCAGAACTTCCAAGTCGTCGTATTCATTAATAAATGGAGTGAAGTTATGTAGAACTTCTGATGCACCTTTCTCAATCACCGCAATCACAAGGACTAGTGCGTTTAGGTTTCTAAAGAAAAAGAGAGCAGGTTGAAAGCTCCAGAAGTGTAGAGGTTAACATCTTCGAAACTTTGAAGTGCATAACATAGCTTATATCTGTTTCCATTTGTTATGAGTGCACATTTGAATCAGATGTCCAGTGCCTACCAGGTGATGTTTACAGGAGAAACGACCGAAATGACGAAGCCCAGGTGTTTACGCTACACATAAACTCATGCATTTTTGTTCAGATTGCTTAACCATTGGAGTTCGGCAGAAATCAGGCAGGTATAACTTCTTAAAGTATAGTTTCCTGTTAAGTTTCGCAGAAGATTATTTTAAATAACATTTGAAGATATTAAATACTTTATTCTTGGAGCTCACGTGGCATAGACATGATCTTCCTAACCTCACTTTTGAGCCGGATTTAATCGTCGATTCTTTAGATTCGTGTGTTTTGCAAAAACTGGGAATGAGTCCTGGTCTCCGCATCGCCTGGAGAATACGATAGGTACGGGAACTTTGCAATCTGCACATGAACGATGTTACAGAGCAGGTGATCTTAATCATGTTGTGAATGTTGTGGATGTGATAACATCAGATAGCTTCCAAATTCTAATTTGGTAGACAACCGTTGCCGCTTGAATAATACTCGGAAAAGCCTGTAATGATCCGCTCTTAAGCAGTTCTGTAAACATCAATTAGTAGCCTCTATCATTCAGTGAATCAACATATCTGATCTAGATCTCCATTGCTGAAGAGTTGTAAAATCAGTCTTTTGAAAAAAAAATAGGTATAGCAAACTGCTCAAACAGAAAAGTTTACAAATAATGGAGTGTATAGGTGACTGATTGGTATACTCCCAGCAAAAGTCAGTATGTGACGAGATACCACTGTTTCGAACCATTCTAAGAAGTCTCTCAATCACGTTAAGACCTTATTTTATTCCCTATAAAAGTTATGATGATATAGTTGTTAATCAGAGAATGTTGAGTGATCTGCTATGCAAAACTTTGAATCTCAGGTGGGAGTTGAACCAGCGTTCTATCCATACCGGGACGCGTGCTGCCACTACACTACCATAATTGTTAATGTGTTGTCACTCTTTCAGTTAGCAACAGACGAGTCCCAGTTTTGCTTATCACTAAACTTTCTTGGACATCTCACAACATTTGAAGAAAATCTTGACAATTGCTATAATCGAAAAAAGACAGACCAATGTAGAAAAATCTGTAGCATCGTTGAATAATGAGAATTGAGCTGAGCTGTTAGAAATGTGACTAGTTGTCGTACCGGCGACTAGAACCAAGTCAAACGAGCGACAGAGACGATCCACGTCGACGCAGCAATACACCATTTATACGACTTTCGATAAAATTTCGATGAGCTACTTTCTTTATGAAGTCATCGATTTTTCGAACTTACAGAACATTTTTCAGACGTTCTAAGGCGTGATCATTCTGTTCAGATTCATCTCAGTTTTAGTTTTCCTGCTTCTCATTATCGACACTTTATCTTAGCTTTGAAGAAGACAAAACAGAATCAGGTTATATTCCTATCAGGTTCGTGCTTTTCGCTTAATCAAGGAAGAGTTTGCGATCAGTTAGTAGTGCAGAGGCTTAGAAAAAAGTCGGCTCCAAACTACTCTATCTTGATTTCTCTATTTATCCTAGAAGCCTTATTTCTTCTGAATTGATACCCGTTAATTGATATTAGATCAGCTGGCACTCACGAAAAGAAATCCAGTATCGCAACATCTTTTATACGGAAGAAAACTAAAGGGAATTTACAAGTTGTTTTCGTCAGAGGGAAGAAATTATTTAAATTACAATTGTTATAAGTTATCGATTGTATTTCTGTTGAATCGGAACTTTGAATAGGACTAATTGTCTTCTACTAAATGGTTTTTGTAGACGTCTTTGATTGTTTTTCCAGCTAGAATTTTTTTTCAAAATTTTTTTCGAACTAATCCATGCAAAATGAATCCAAGAACTCGTTCCGCATGAATTCCATCTAAGCACGCCGTCATTCGCCACTAATCGATCGTCCATCCAGTCGATCCTGGCTGGTCTCTTGTTCGCTGACACTCTGTATTCTCTGCTATCGATAGCTCTTTTACAGACCCGCTCAAAACGAAATAATCTGATAAGGATATGACTTGTTTTGAGCCGATAGGTCTAGTGCTATATATGCGCCTATTTCGTCCTAATGGAACTCATCGGTAGCACCCTCCTTCGGGGAAATAGGCGCCTATATAGCACTAGACCTATCGGCTCAAAGCAAGTCATATCCTTATCAGATTATTCCGTTTTGAGCGGGTCTGTAAAAGAGCTGTCGATTGCAGAGGTATAATTCATTCTAGAAGCCGCAAGCTCGACTGCCGGTCACCACAACGTCAGGTAATACCATCATCCGACTTGGAGTGTTTTTTTCTTACTTGGCGTCGATTCCATTAGAGGATTATATAGCCTCAAGGGATCTACGAAACCGAGGAGGGGAGCTACTGATGAGTTCCAAGGGCGCCTATATAGCACTAGACTTATCGGCCCAAAACAAGTCTTATCCTTATCAGATTGCTCTGTATTCTTTCAGATCCTTTTTTTGCTTGTCGAAGCAAGGAGGCAAGTGTTAGGATGGCTGCTAATTACATCATAAAATGCTTTCTACACTACGCTATTTTTACTACGTTGAGTTATGCCTATCATAGTAGTTACAAAATTTCTTCGAGGAATAAAATCTAGCGAAATATAATGCCCAGTTTCGTTGAGTGAGTCTAATGAGAGCAAGGCGAGAAGTTCTTGGACTATGACTCTAGTCGTTGTCCCTCTATGTCAGATTCAATGCGACTTACTCGCAAGCTTATTGACTCTTACCCAGATACCCAGACGATTGTGAGGATTAACTTGGTTTGGAATTGGCCTTCTACTCTCCTTTACATGCATGTAACATGGACATAGATGCATTCAACAATCTAAATGACTACTTTCAAAGGGACCCACAATCGCTTGCACATGCTTACTTGTTAGTCACGAAAATTTTGGAGGAATCATAAGAAAAGTGGAATAATAAATAATCCGTATTTATCAAGCGTGATTAGCATTTCGTGTTTTTTTATTTGTATTGCAGCAAGAAATAGAGCTGTAGTTTTGCCAGCTTGGGTTACTTAATGATTAGCAGGTTACATATGGCTATTAGATGATATTCGGATGTATTGACACTGATCAGTAAGAAGATGTTCTCTTGATAAACAAGCACGAAATTTTTATTTTTTAATGATTATATTTAACTGAAGTTTAGGCGAATTTCGCCTATTTCGAAGCATAGAAAAGTGAAGCTGAGCGCAATCTTGTTAACCGAATACCTGACGTAGGAAGAAAAACCACGAGCTCCAAACAGCGTCAGTAGCATTGAAAAACAAAAGCGACTGGAGAAGCGAGATTAAGTGATTCACATGTACTTTAACCGCGGTAAGGTGCGATTAAAATTTCGAACATGATGTAAATGGAGTAAATTTGGACTGTGATCACCCTTTTCGTAAGTGTACGTATTCGCATTGCACCATCAGTGCTTTCCTTCTGCCAATCTCTCAGCAGTATTTCATCCATTCAACCACTGTCCACAGTCACCAGTTAAAGCTCATGACGAGTAGCTTAGTCTTGGTTCTAGTACACTCCACATACATCAAGTCAAGCTTTGCCTTTATCTCAGCATTGTTCTGGTTATATTTCACATCATGCCCTGCTGTTCAAAATAACACATCTCATAACTAAAATTAATATATGATTATCTGTATAACCATCTATGACCAGTGCGAAATTTGCAAGTTTTCCCTAACTTCTTATAGGGTTACTGTATTGATTCGAGTACGACCCACCTGATCTCTCGTAGAGCATACGGGCGAGTACAATAGCGAAGCGAATAGCTTCGTGCATCCGCATGAGCAAACATGTTCTTGAAAATTTGAAAAAAAATGTAAACGAGTTTATAAAACGATATATGCTCACCTGACCAAATCTGCTAAAGGTTGGTGGATGACAGATGTGATAGAGACATTCAAGAATGAATGGTGGCGAAACGGTGCCTCGGTGGTGTAGTGGTAGCACGCGCTCCCGGCAATGGTGAAACGTGGATTCAACTTCCGCCTGAAAACAAGTTCCTGCTCAATTCTCTTAGGTGCATTTGAAACATCGTAACACTGCGAAAAAAATAGTGAAAACATAAGAGATCTTAAAATTTAGAAAACAAAGCATTTTACTGGGAGTGTAGGAGATAAAGGCATAACGAAGAAGATTCTGACGTAAGCGCCATTGTCCTCGAACACGGATCTAAAGCTTCAGCTCTTAAGACCCTCAAAGCATTTCGGATAGGTGCCAAAACCTTAGCCACAGAAGAAAAGTATTTTGTTCTTATTGGTGACCACAAACATTACCTTAATCTGATATATTGTCGTCATCTGAACTTCATAGCGTTGGTGCACTCATGGGCGATTCAGTCGAATACCCATGAACAACTTTGCTTGAAAAAATGCTTTTTCAATGCGATTACTGTCTACGTTTTACCTTTTTCGTTGAGGTCATGTAAGTATATGAATGAATAGATTGCAGTTAAAATTACCTTTCCAGATTTTGACTCTTCCTTACGGAATGTATCCATTTGAATACAAAATTTTCTGAAGGTTTTTCTCAATGAAGAAATTTTCTTCCATATACCTTCAATGATTACTCGAAAATTCATAGTTTGATATTTTCATCTATGTGGTTGATTCATAGAAAGTGTTTCTCATTGTGCTGTAAGTAAAATGAATAGTAAAATGGAAACTTTATGTGTAATCATAAAAAATTACGAATACAAAGTGACAATTGTTACTGTATAAAGCTTCTCCAATTTTGTGCTGCCTGTGGTCATTTTCCTTAATAGGTTTTCATTTATTTCACTTATGTTAACTCTGAGCTCGTTAATCATCGTTTGTATTGATCAGACACCAATAAACACTTTTCTCGACTTATTGCGTATCCGTACTATTGGTGTTCTGTTTCTACTTCCCTCTATACTTGTATAGTTCGTTTTCACTCCCATTAGACACCAGCACAATTTCTAGTAGTTTCCTTCTCGCGTAATCGTCGTCCATGGGGTGATCTGCTTCAAATATAATAGTGTGCGTCTGCTAGCAGTCTTTAGAAACACTAGAAGTGTCATAGCTTTGTGAGAGATTGCACGTCTTTTTCGGAGAGACTGTAAGGCTTGTCATGTTGTTTTGAAAATGAAGCGAGGTTTATCTATTAGTAACGGCTCTTAACGGTTTCTATACACTTTCCCTCCTATAAACTTGTTAGATATCAGTTCATGAACATGATTAAGTATGAATTATTATGTTGTGGAGCTTCAAACTTAAACTTTCGATCAACAATATCTCAATATCTTTCAGATTGTATCCGCAGTTTCCATTTCCATTTTGCTTCGCTATCTTTTCAGATTGTTTCAATTCTCCAGAAACTGCGTATTTCTAGCGATGCGGTTAGCTGTATTTCTGTTTTTGCTGTTTTTCGTCTGCTTGTGCTTCGCTGGACATCCGAAGCGATATGTTGTCGATTTGGACTTGCCGGCATCTGAGCGATGGAATGAGGTGGTGCATGATCATCTCGACGCCATCCCAGAGTTTATGAGAGTGGCGCCGTGAGTTTCAATGACGGGCAAACGATCTAATCATATATTCACAATAGGGCCATATTAAACTATTTATACTCGACGGAATACTTGAAATGAGTTAAGAGTCTCCAAGAATCGGTTGCATGATAATTTTGGCATTCAAGTGACTTATCCTAGCGAAACTTGCAGACTCTAGCCTTCTTAAAAGCTGACTAAGTCGGTTTTTGTTTCTATAAAATCTTCGAAAACCTATGCCACGCCTTTCCTAATTCATCATCAAAGGTAGCCGATAACCGTTGAGGTTCGAATATGATACATGTTGCTCATGTCGCTACGTTTATTCTAAAATGATAATGATACTCCTGAGATTGATTTGCTACTACCAGAAACATTTGTATGGAAATAGTGAATCGTTTTCGGCTTGACTAAATACCCTGTAGGTTATGAGTTGTTTTGCTTCTTGCGCCATAAAAATAGACAAGTGTAGCTCACAGGAGGAGAGATTAGGTGCAACCGAAGTCATTGCGCGATCCTGACTCACAGACCAGTTAGCATCTCCAGCTAGGCCGTTTGGAGGCGAACATTGGAATAAGTTTGATAGTCTTTGCATTCAGCAACTTTAGATCTATTTCCTATCGACTTTCATTTTCTGTCACTGAATTTTACAGTGTGTTGCTCTTTTCATGAACCATAAACACATACATAGCTGTTAATTTCAGAAGTGTTGTGCCAAAACATCTTTTACCAATCGCCTTCTTTGTAGCACAACAACTAAATCGTTTTTTTCCCGATGAGTACGCCGAGGAAGTTCGAGGTCTCTAAGAAGCATGATGTTTTCTATTTTTCGATCAGCTTTCGCAATACAGGCATCGCTCGCGCGTCTGGCCTACCAGTGGGCTTCATTGTGTCGATGAATATTCTCTACGACATTGCAGCCTTTGATCGAAAACAGTCAGTTTTACTATTCAACATTAGCAGAAATGATGATCTAGGTGGTTTCCATGATAGCTGAAATGACAAGCCATTTTGTTGTTCATACAACTATAGATAAAATTATTCAGTATTCTCCAAATGGGATGCACATCGATAGTTGCGGAGAACGACGACGGTTTAATTCTTCACGGTCGCAATCTCGATTACGGAATTGGTGATCTGCTGAAAAACATCACTATCCTCGTCGACTTTGTTCGTTCGCAAGGCCAAGAAAAGGTCTGTTAACTCTTCCAATGACGAAACTCGTTGCTTTTCCAAGCCTGATCTTTTAAATATCCGCAAAAACACTTCGCCTTTGATCAAATTGTTTGCTATAAGAAGAATACTATATAATTCACGGAAAAATATCACTATTAAAACAGATTAAACTGATAGTCTATTTTCTATCATCATCAATCATCTAAAAATGGTATATGATTTTACAATTGCACAAGTGCAGTATTCTTGCTTATTCTTATTCCATTAGTTCCTATACTTCTAGGCAGTAAACGAAGCTTTTGCCCTATAGCAGTTCATATTTGGACACAAGACTTTTTTCAAATGTCAGAAAAACACTTTATAACATCAATGACACTCTAAACACAGGATTTAATTCATGATAACCAACGATCATTTTGTTCTTTGAAGAAAATCGCCTATAGTGGCGTGACGTTCGCCTTGTCAACAACTCTGCTCACTGGCCAAAACGATGCCTTTTCGCTAAGCCTCAACGCTCGGTGTGAGTTTCTGTTTCGCAGTACTCTCTTCGCGTTCCTTAATTCAACATTATCCTAATTTCTACAGCTTTTTGTTTAGTCGTTCTACGCCTGTGAAACGTTATATTGTCTTAGATGCACGGGATACCACTAATGAAATTAGAGCGTGGCTACGCACTTGAGAAAAGAATTCTTACACGACGCGACATCGCATATTATGTGAATTCCAACACCTTTATAATTGATTTCTTTCTGTGCATCCGCTATCGACCAAGTTCTTCAATGGTCGAACATCTGGGCAACAGCCGAGAATGTTCGTTTTGATTATGAAAGCCGGTCGAGTGAATTCCTCTTGCAATCTCAATACGTCCGTTTTATGGTGATTCATTATGAGGAGAAAGTAAAGTGGTCCCAAAAAAGTTTTCTACTGATTTCAAGATCATAGTGCAAAGAAAGACTTCTTGAGTCCGAGGAGAATGAAACCAGCGGAAAAGAATTTCTCTGTTGTCTTCGAATATGTGATCGACATTTTCATAGTCTTCAAATCGTAGCCATATGTACTAAAATTCAAGCTCCATTGAAGTCTCCAATAGAAATAAAAATCAAGTACAAAGGAAAATCATCAGTGACGGGCTAGGTTGAGTCGAGTAATTGACTGAATGACATAACGCAAAGATTTGAAATTCGCTCAAAGTTTGGTATTTTGCACTCAGCGCGTGCTATCCATCTTGCCGACAAAATGGCCATCAACTATCTTACAAGTAGAAGAATTTTGTTATTGAGCTAAGCTATCATCCTAAATAAGCATCATTAACCCATTAAGCACGACAGGGACACGCTGTCAGCTCCGGCTTGCCGCGCGCGGCATCACTAACCACTCGGCTGCTCGCCGCGCAGGCGATCCGAGAGTGACGGCATGTTCCTGGCGTACTTAGTGAGTCAACCGCTATCACATGTTCACTTGAGTTAATCTCACCTTTTGCCATACAAAATTGCTTTCGTAACTTGTCCTTCAGTAACTGAATACCACTCTTGGCAATTCTGCATTTTGCTGTCCCTGTCAAGGTCAAGCGTATTCTGCTCATCTTGCACTCTAGATCTCCAATTTCTGCTTCTACATTTGCATGCACATGCAGTGGTCTTCAGCTATGTACGAAGTGACGAATGTTCAGCCCACGTATCAATCCTATATTAGGCCCACCATTGATTTGTGCATGCATAATGACTTCCTTTTGCCCAATCATTCTTCGAAGCTAAATATTTATAAGACATCCCATAATTATTATTTGAGCCAATACGTCATGTGGTCTATTACTGAGCTCTTGCATAGCCCGATACATGTGTTTCGGCCTTGCAGCCTCGTAAGTCGGGCAGCAGGCCCTTCTTTTTAGCCAGTCCTCTCGGAGACCCCTACTCTCCTATAAAGAGGTAGGCGACGACGAACGATTCACACAATTGCCTTCAAATTAAAAAACTCAAGATCGACAATTTTCGTCATTTGATTGCTCTTGGCTGGTGTTTTTGTGATATCAAATTTTATTTCGAGTGGTTATTGAGACAACCACCAAGACCATTAATAGACCACGTGACATATACTCTCATTAATTATTATAATATATAAGATACTTTAGAGAAAATTATTTATCCGTCATATTACTTTGACACTATTGTAAACGATATATTACCATTACCACTGCTCACTACTATTCTCTAAATCAGCTTTCTGTCAAGTGGAACTATAATTTTTCAAGATTTATAATCAATATCTTGTTGTCAAGTTGTTATCATTGTGTTAATTTTGCTACACATGAAGGATT